AAATGGGACCGAAATTTGGGAGACTTTTTGCGTGATCTTCCTTTAGAGCTATTTGGTGAATGGCAAACAGATCCGTACATCCCACCAGAGGCCAAAGATGGTAAAGTTCCGAGAAATCAATACGGCAATGTTGAACTATTTCAACCATGTATGTTACCAAAAGGAACAGTTTACCTTCAGCTTCCTGGACTTATTAGGATTGCTAATAAATTAAAGATTGATTGTGCCCCTGCAGTAGTTGGATTTGATAATTGCTCGGGGGGAGCCGGAGTTCATCCAGTCTTCGAAGGTTTTGTGGTTTGTGAAGAGTTTGCTGATACACTTAAAGCTGCTTGGGAAGAGGAACAAATGAACATAAGAAAACGAGAGCTGGAGAAACGAGAGAAACGTATTTATGGCAATTGGAAGAAACTCATTGTAGGTGTTCTTATTAAGGAACAAGTTAAACTCAAATATAATCGAGACCAGTCAGAGGATACAGAAGCAGTGAAAAGTTCTGGGATAACTCTGGATGACATTGATACGATTCTATCAATGTATGCCAAAAAACGGAGAAAAGGTCCAAGTAAAGCAAATAAAACAAAAAGCTCAGCTCCAACTAAAAAGTCAAACAAAAGAAAATCGAAAAAAGGTAAAGATACAAGCGATGAAGAAGATGAAGACGAGGATGACGATATCGACGATTTTATTGTAGACGATGACGAAGACCTGGAAGAAGATGGAGAAAAGATTAAAAATGATGAAGAGGAAGAAGCAGAAACTGAATTAGAATTATCTGATTCTGATTGAATTGATTGGTTTTCATTATATCATTTTAAATATTTAATAATTCAATTTTTTGATTCTATAGAATTTTATAATTGTATCTAAATTTGTTCGTATATTCTTCGATTGCATTTAACTTCGAAAGTAGCTCTATTTTGAATAAAATCTGTTTCATAATCGCTTAAAGGATCCAAGACTTGATTCAACCTGTTGATGATAATTTAACCCTAACGATATCGATAAAGGATAATGATTTCAATAGATAATTTTGAAGCAAAAAATTCCCAAATCTTTAAAATCTTCACTATCTTTGCAAACTTTTTCAAGTAAAAACGTGAAACCAAAAGCCAAAAAACGTAGAAACACACGGAAATGAGCTTGAATAGCATGGTAAAGAATGGTCAGGCTCTTTCGAGTCCACCTAAAAGAATAGCATGATAAGAGGGGATAAAGGAGAATGGCAAACAATCGATGTTTAGCTCTTGATAATCGATAGCCACAAAAGCCAGAAAATATCGATAAGCATCGATTTTAACGCTAAAATCGCCCAGCAATAGTTTTAACTAAAGATTGATTAAAGTTTTAAGATTAAAGTTTTAAGATTAAAATTGTTTATGCTGTTTAATCTTTGATAGAGTTACTATTTTAGAATTGATTTAACAATGTTAATAAATGAACTTCCTGATGATTGTTTGCTGACTATTTTTGATTGCATACGAAATTTAACGGATTTAGTAAACTGCTTCAAAGGTAAGTGCCATTCCTTTAAATTGTAAAATATGAGAAATGTGGAAATCAATTTATATTGAAATCATTCAATCTATCAATTGTAAACAATAGGATAAATGCTATATCAACCTTTTATGTGAAAGAAACGGTTTTATTGAAACCTCGTTTGTTACCTTGTGAGGAATATTGTGCATCGTCTGACTGTAAAAGCGCGCTATTTGGATACTAATATTTTAGTTATGATACTTGCAACTTTTATTGAAACCTCTTTTGCTATCCTTTTATAAATATGGTTTATATTCTACTGTTATTCGAATATTTTTAGTTAGCTCAAGATACATTATGTTTTTTCATTTAATATTAACTTGACAAATTTTAATTGCAGTTTGTATAAAATGGCGTAATTTGATTATTGTCCGGACTAAAAAAGTTAAATATTTTATTGGTAAGATTTACTTTTGATTAATGCACATTCTAATCGTGAACCATTTTTTTAATGAAATCACTTGTTTTTTTCAGGCCGATCAAATTATCCGCCTGATTCTGTTTGTCATTTATCAGATGAGCCTTTTGATGTAACATTTTTGAGCAAATGGTTTCCAAATTTAAGGGTTTGTTAACAGGTTTGACATTATTTCACTTTGATTATTTATATAATTCTTATCAAAACAGATTTTCGACATTTTCACATGCGAAGGAATATCAATCGATGTTGCAGCTAAACTAATCAGAGATTCAGAATCTTTGAAAGGAATAATCGCTGATATCTTCCTTTGCGCGGGTGATTTGCAACGGATACTGATGAATGATAATCTCGAAATGTTATCTACTGATTATATGCGTTTAGACACAATTGAAATCAATGAAAATATGAAGCAATTGTGCCTCTCGAGCTCTAATGGATTTCTATCAATACATGTACTTAAAAAAGTGGCGCATTCTTTCCCAAACCTTGAAAGGCTGCATACGTATTGTCAGGCAGGTAATTTCTATATGCAAAAAATTTTCGATTTTTTTAAAACTTTTAAAACAATTAACAATTGTTTGACCGGTTATTTTGAAATAATTATCTGGTATTGTAACTCTTTTGGTTTATTATCTTTTTATAATAGTTTCTTGACCAACCTTATCTTTTCATGTTTAGACATAGCAAGTCAGTTCACCAATGGTGCAGTAATGGCAAATCTCAAGATATCAGGAATTGGGGTTGTATTCTTATGATTGGACACACTCTTCTTGGTCACTTGAAGTCATGGATTCATTTCCAGCGTTACAGAGTGCTTATATCAGCATGGATTGCTATCATATTACCGTCAATGATTCAATAAAACAAGCAAACTTACAAGATTTAGTTATTCAATGCGTGAGTGCGATTTTGCTTCAAATTTACATAGCGGCTTAAAAAATCTTAACAAAACATCTTTATTTTAATAGTACGAACCAATCGAATGGGATAGTCTACGAAGATTAATGTCAAAATATCCAAATATAAAGCATTTGGCAATGCGAGGCATCTCTCCAAAAGATGAAGACATCAAACAATTAATATTAATGTTGCCAAAACTAACACTACTTGATATTCGTGAATCTCGTGGAGTCACTCAAGAAGCTGCTGATCATGTTCGGGACTATTGTAAGCGTTATGGCCGATCAATCAAGTTTTATTATAAAGAAGACGACAAACAAATTGAATCTGATTGGCCGATGTCATTAAATCGACCAGTACAAATTTGTCGTGGATTTGATTTCATGGAACATTGTTTTTTCAAAAAATTTTATCAGTTGCCTCATTTTTTGGATCCAATAGATGATTAGAGATGCAAAAGTTAAAATTGTCGATTCCTCTGTATCCAACTTTTATTTCAGCTGTAAAGTTTACGATATTGAAAGAAATGTAATCCTTGATATCTTAATCAGACCATAGTTATCGATCTTAGACGGACCACCGGATCTTTTGTTTACCTGCGCGGTTATTTATTACAATTATTATATTTATCCTGTATAAACTGGTCTAGTTTACCAGCTAACTTTTCAACTCATTATTTCGAGCACACAAAAAAAGTTCTTGAATCTTTGTGTTATTGTAAAAACGCACCTTGATAATCTACAATTCCATTATAAAATTTTATTCAATCATATTGTTTGAAATCATTTGCACGGCTAAGGCGTTGACCATTCAACTGATTTTTAGACTAAGTTGACCAGCTGTGGTTTCTAGTTACAACTAGAAATTGATAAGATTAAAGGGTAAGGCGTTACTTTTTCGGAAAAAGGCGTTACACTAAAACATATGGAGAGAACTTTAAACTTTGCTCCAAAAAAGTTTATCCTTTTTTATGTTGTTTTCGATGGTCATGAAACTGGATGAATACAATGAATAAAAAGATGAAAAACACGAGAAAAAACATGGAAATATGAGTGATTCTAAAGAAAATAGTAAACATGCTTTCTCGAGCATTGAAAGCTTTTACAGCTTTGAAAAAGATGGTTTTTTAATGATGTGGAATGAAGATTCAACAGTTTAATGCCTTTCAATTTTAATCAGAAAATTGGTTCAGAAGAAGATATATAGAAACAGGAATCGAGTTTGCAAAACAATTCAAGTTGACTCCACAAAGGTTAATGTTTCTCGAATCAAGTCAAAAACCATGAATTTCATTTATACCAT